CACGTGGGCCACCGCCGTCCGCGTGCTCGAGGCCCTCGAGGACAAGGTCCCCAAGCGCGCTCAGTACGACCAGTACTTGGCCCACCTCCAGCCCCTGCTGGAGGACCTCGGTGTCGAGGAGGCCAAGACCCTCGGCACCTTCGAGCCGATCCGCGAGAAGCGCTGGATCGATCGTGACTAAGCCGAGGGCCTTTGCACCCCCGCCACGGCTGGAAATCCCGTGGATCTATACCTATTTCTCTGCTGGCCGCGCGAATGGTTCCGTTGGTGCGGCGCCTTCCGTTTCCCTTCGATGACTTCAATTCCTTTTTTTTCTTTTTTTCTTCAAGTTGGGCGGGAGGGGTGGGGGTGAAGCGGATGACTAGCGACGATCTTCGCCTAGATCTCGTCTGACCCGTGCCGTGCGGGTCTCGCGCTTTCGTTCACCGCCATGGCTGGTGTCCATTTGAGATGGCCGTCTCGGATCGACCCCGGTATCCGAATAAGCATTCAAGGCCGTCACAGTTTGATGCGCCGCAGCAACCAAGCGGGGAGGACACGCCGTGGTCGAATGCAGTCGACCGCGATCGGCCCGCATCGGCGGAGAGGCGTCGGGCCCCCCCGGAACCCTTCACCCTGGCGAGTCCAACGAGTATGGGGAGGTCGGGCATCCAGCGTGATCGCCAGCGTGAGCAGCCAACCGCGACCGTGAGCGGCCGCTGCGCATCTGGGCACGCGTCATCCCAGCCAACGATGGATGGGCCGGCGCGACGGTCTCGACGAACATCACGAACATCCCCGATCCTCGATCAGCCATCGGCCGATCCTCAGGGATCGCTCGCGTCCGGTGGCATCGACGGCCTCATACGGATGCGCGACGCAGCGACAGCACACGGCGGTTCGTCGGGTGAATGCGGCCGACGGCGTCCGTTCCCTCGCTCACCAGGGGCGCTCGGCAGCGGGGAGTAGGGAGCGCCGCAGGCCGCCCAGGCGTCCTCGGCCAGGCGTCCTGGGCCGCGCCCCGGTCCCCGCTACTGGGCAACCCGCTGAAGGCGCCCTGCGACCGCCGCCGCTCGCGCCGCCCGTCGCCCGCGGCGGATGCCAGCGCGGACCCGGGGTGAAAGCGCCGCCGCCGCGTCGCGCGCCCAAACTCCGCCTTGCCGCTTTGCTGCCTTGCCACATGGCCGCGTGCCGATCGCCGCAGGGGGAGGCGAGGCGAGGCGACGGTTGGCGCCGGGCGCTCGGCGATGAGTCGGCTCCAAAGCACACGCCCTGCCTCCCGTCCGATGCGGGCTGCGAGCTGCGAGGCGGCCTTGCCATACTCGGGCGCTGTGAGGGGGGGGTCGTGCAAATGCAACCTGTGGTCGATGGCGGCGCCGCGACACCGCCTGGCATGGCCCGCCTCAAGCTCCTTCTCACACCATTTTCTTTTCTGGTGCGACTCCCGTGTCCTTGCCGGTCCGTGGTCGACAAGGGCATGGGCGCCCAAGACGAGCGGGAGCCTTGAAAGCCAGGCCGGACCCTCTCTTTTGAAACGCATGGACGGCATGAACGGCTTTTTCCGCTGCGTGGCCGCGACTCCCCTGACGTGCCGAGTCCTTATCAGGACGCGCTCTGCAACGCGCTTCGCCATCTTGCCACGCGTCGAACGCGGGCATTAGCAACATTCATTCCTGGGCCGCTTGGCACGTGCGCTTGCCCGATCCCGCAGCTTCCCCCCCGACGCTTGCAGATCGTTGCCAAACGACGGGCGCCACACGCCGGCCCGGGCGCTATCTCAGCCAGAGGGCCACCGCCGCCGCCGTCGCCATGCAGCTGTTTCACTGGGGCTGGGCCGCGGCGGCCCTGCTCTTGGCCGCGGCGTCGCCATCGACCGCGGCGCTGGATGCCGCAACCGTCACGACGCCATCCACGACCACGACCGCGATCGCCACCACCGCGCCGGCCGCGGCCGCGACGCCGACGCACGTCTCTCCCGCGCTGACGTCTCCCGCGGTCTCTGTCCTCACGAATGTCACGATCCTCATTCTGTCGGACGATGATTTCTTTGGGACGTCCCATCCCCACGTGGTGCAGACCCAAAAGCAGTGGGCCCTGGCCCGTGGCATCCAGCTGAACTACCTGTCGGTGCAGGCCCTCTTGCCGCCCGGGACGTCTCCCGGCAGCGACCCCACCACCAACAGTGATCTGGCGGGAAGGGCCGTGACCGCCACCGAAGTCAGCCGCCACCAGATCTACTACGATCAGTATGCCCCAGCCGTCGCGCGCGCCTGCGAGGCGTTCCTCCAGAGCCAGCGCGCGAATACGACGTACGTGGCGCCGTTTGATATCGTCCTCGTGGATGCTCGCAGCTCCGGGATGCTGGCATCCTGTCTGGCAAACCTCACGCAGTGGGACGCCGTCACGCAGAATAATGATCTGCTCACCCAGGATGCGACGCTGCTCACCGCCGGGATGGTGAATGGCTCGCTGGTGACGCTGCCTTTCAACCACTCGCTGGACGTCATGACCTACAACGAGCCCCTATTGCTGGCGCACTATGCGGCGCCTCCAGCCTCAGAGGACGAGCTCTACCTCCAGATCGACGAGGTTCTCGGGGACGAGCGTGTTCTCGAGCATTACGACCTGCAGGGCTACTCGGGTGATTTCGCGACACCCGAGGGCGTTTTCCTGTGGATGTCGCAGATCATGGCCTCCAATGCGACGGGCAGCCCGCTGGGCTTCTTTGACGCGATGGGCAATGTGACCATCACGAGCCAGCACGTCGTCGATGCTGCGTCCAAGATCATGAACATGGTCATTCACGGTTACATGGACGCCACGGTCTTCGACAGCACCGTCAACGTCGACGGCGGACAGAGCACGTTCCTGCAAGGGGACGCCCTCTTCTGGCAGGCCGAGGCTTCCTACGTCACGACGATGGGCGAATCGCGCTTCTCAGTAGGCGCTGCCAACCTTCCATGGGGCAATATGAGCGTTTATCGTGGCTACGGTGTGGGGCTCTTTGCAGGGAGCGCCGTGGGACAAGCCGGCATCGATGTCCTCGAGTACTTGTCGAGCGTCGCCCACCAGAAAGACATCATCCTCATGACCCGGGGCTACCACCTCCCGACGCACCCGTCGCTGTTCAACGATGCAGACGTGTGCGGGATCTTTGGCCGCGGGCTGTGTCACATCTTTGCCAACACACAGCTCTTTATCCGGCCGTCGGAGCTGCTCGGCGCACAGTATCATAACATCAGCACCGAGATCGGCGCGGCCTTCCTGGACGTGTTCCAGGGCGACGCGGTGCTCGGGGAAATGCTGCCTCTCCTGGACACCCGCATCCGCAAGATCTTGGGACAGCACACGGGCAACACGACCGTGATCATTGACCCGTCGCTGGCCATCAAGAAACGCATTCTCAACAAGATTGGCGTTCAGTTCGGCGGCTTGCTTATGATGATCGGGTGTGTGGCTGCGGGCATTCTCATCTACCGGCTCCGCGGCGATGATCTACCGCGCGACGACGACGAAGAAGCCGGCCAGCGTCCTCCTTCGGAGATGCGCACGCACATGCCGTCTACTACCGCGGCGCCGCAGCCGCCCACTGCGTCGCAGCCACAGCCGACGCGGGCCGGCTTTGTACCTCTGCCCGATGGCGAGACGACGGGCGACCTCGATGCTGACGACACAGCGCTTGGTCGATACCAGACGGTCGAGACCGTCCAATCGTCGTCCCAGGAAAAGAAGACGGCGATCGTGCTCGATCGCACCGAAGTCACCAAGACGGCGCGGCAGCCGCTTGCTGATGTCGTCGCAACGGTTCCTGCACGTGTGTTTGACACCGTGGCCTATGAGGCCTCCCCCTACAACATGACGCCTGAAACGCAGTCCCTCGCCTCGAAGAGCATCGACCGATGGGGCTCGGGCGTGCGGCTGATCGCTCCGGAAGACAACGACGTGACGGAGCCGGAGATCCCGATAGCCCCGATGTCCATCGACACGAAGGAGGCGGTCGAGTCCGTCCCGGATTGGAACGATCGCGCATCGACGCACAGTGCTGATCCGCTCTCCCGCATGGCGGACGGCGTCGAAGATCTCCAGCACTCCGCCGGCCGGCCTACGTCCAGCGTGCCACTCAGCGGCACGCTGGCCCCCTATCCCGTGGAAGTGTCGGCGTCCGGTTTCACGACTGAGACGACGTTTCAGGAGCCGACCTTTTCCACACAGCAGCCTGTCGGCATGGTGAGCATGGAGGACCGCACACAGCCTCCCGTCGCCGAGGGCAGCGACACGGTTCTGCAGCACGAGCCTCCGAATGACAGTGATTCAGCCGGCGGAACCGAATCAAACGCGCCATCAGTCGCCTCGTCGGTGGTGGATACGCGCGCTCTGCCGCCAGTCCACCAGCACGTGCTACGTTGGGAAGAATCCGTTCCCACCAGCGACGCCCCCGGCATCCCGACCCCATACGCGCTGCCACTGGGCACCCGCTTTGCGCAGGCTCATGCCCGTCTCGCCAAGTCGTTTATCCAAGCGCAGCCAGAGAGCTCGTCGGAATGTGCACCTCCGGACAGCGGAAGCCTCGTGTCCCGGGCTGTGAGTTCGCCGGTCGATGACCATGCTCGCCGCGCTGACCACCCGGCCATGCCCATCAACCACCTCGACACGCAGCGCCTAGAGCCGTTCCAGCGGAACGGACAAGAGGACGAAGCACAGTTTCTCGTACCCTTGAGTCTCTCACCGAGACCCAGACAAAGCAGCGGTGCCTATCGTCCGGCCAGTCGCTTCTCACCTACGGGACCGAACATCCCGGCAGTGGAACGACCCGATCCCGCCGACTTTCATGCAGACGATGATGACGATGGCTTCGTGTCGATTCTGTAAGAATCGATATCGCCAAGGAGATCTACAGCCTGTCTCGAATATACTGTAAATGACCTAAAGCCACCATCGTTTATGCGGCGTCTATATCAGTCGACAACATGCTTGAATGAGCAGGGAGAATTGCAACGCTAACGCGCGAAAAAGTAGTGGACTGCATCCGCCGGGAATCGAACCCGGGGCTAACACATGTTGCTGCAGGATCTTGAAGCGGGGCGCTGTCAGGAAACTTATGGCAAGCGTTAATTTTACCACTAAACCACGGATGCAATTTTTGTTTTTGTTGGACGGCCACTCCTACTCCATGGTTTGTATCACATCTGCCAACATAAACAGTCTGCCACGTGGCATGTGGCTTGCACCACGTGGTCCAGGCACGTGGCGATCACGTGGATCATTCTGAACAAACCAGGCCACTACCAGAGCGAGTGTCCTCGAGCTCAGACGAAACAGGACTAGGACCGCCTTCAGCCGCGCCCCGTCCTGAACACCCTTGAGGAGCACATCGACCGCGCTCCGACCGACTCGGAAAACTGAAGGGGGGGCAATGCCTTGAACCACCCACTACCTAACGAATGCGAACTGCCCGGCCGCCCAACACAATGCCGCAAAGCATAAAACATATTCTCGTTTTCCTCTTCCCACGTCTGGCATAAATAAAGAAGATCTGCTGCTTCTTGCAGCGATGTCCACTTGTCAATTTTCTCGACTCCAAATCACGTGTAACGAAGAAACTTTTGACTGCTTCATCGACTCAGGCGCCAGCACCGAGTATGCAACCGCAAGGTTCACTCACCGCGCTGATCTGACCGTTGACCCCGCCATCTCAGCATCCGCAGGACTCGCCAATGGGTCCTCGATCAATCTCGGCCGATCGACCATAGAGATCACTTGTGATGGCCACACCGAGAAGATCCAAGCATGGATCAATGACACCGATAGGTTTGATATCATCCTTGGCCAAACCTGGCTTCGAAGGCATCATCTGCTCGCCGACTGGCGGAGCACCTCCGCCACGCTCAACGTCGAGGGGCAAATGTGCACTATGTACCCGCTTTCCTCTGCTCCCCCTCCATTCACCGACAACCTTTTGATGCCTATCACAGGCTTTACTATGTAGCATCGACCTTGGCACACCGAAACAAGACGGCGACTCGACCAACTACGGAACAGCCGTGAAAGTTGATGTAACGACGAACGACAAGACCGACGAACGCCTCGGCGTCACAATCGAATAATTGCGGCCATGGCCCTGTAGGTCGCTTCATTGCCTGCTGGTGGCCCGCTGGACACTAACACGTCATGCGCGGAGGGTTCACCGCCCCAGTAGATGGGTCTGGCCGGCAGATTGATGCAAGACGGTCGCTGCCTCCGCTTTCACAGGCAGAGTGGACACAGATGAGGGGAAGGCCCTATGGCGCCCGCGGCTGCCCTAGGGCCGGCGGCCTCCAAGACCGTCCACCGCAACACGTCCGTCATGCTAGTCTTGCTGTGTGGGCGTCTCGTTTCGCAGGAAAGACGACCGGGCGATGAAAGGGGTGACCACCATATGGCTCTGCGGTGGCGGCGGCATGCCGTCATGGGGCGGCAGCATGCGTGGGACAGTCATGCAGCCCCTGAGCAATCGGAAACATGATAGCCCCGGCGCCGTGTCGTGCCGCTCTTTGATCTCGCCCCAAGGGATCACGACGATGCGTTCGGCATGCTGGCTTCTGGACAGCCGGTGGGCGATCGAGAGCGTTGCGCGGCCCTTCGCGGCCTCCGCGAGGGTTCGCGAGAGGCGCATCTCGCCCTGGCCCGACAACGCCAATGTGATCTCGTCAAACAGTAGCACGCGCAGCCATAGTTCTTGGACGTTCTTAACTAGAACGGGTCAAAACCTTTCTCTTCCTGCCAGGTATAAATGACCTATCGATCATGCCGCCGCCATCCTCGGCCCCAGGTTGCTGTTCTCGTCAACTTCACCCTCAGTTGGGCAGTTAGCATTCCAAGAGCCAGCTGCAATGCTTGCCAACGCAGCGCGGCTAGTGGGGAGCGCCACCCACTGCGCCTCGGCAGGGGCGTCGCAGGTCTCCGATCCGTCGGTGCTTCGCCTGTGTGGGGGTCTCCCGACGCGCTGTTGGCTGCGCTGGCATAGGGTGCCATCCTGGCGGTAAACCCCAGAGGTTCAGGTCCGGCCGCACAGTCGGTGACGCGGCAATCGCCTGCCAGTCGTCTAAGTACCTTTCGAAGGACAGGGTCGCGCCTTGGGCGAGGGCCGATGCGTCACGCCCATGGTCGGGTCGCCCGCTGGTTCAGCGCTGTTCCGAAGCGGCGCCGATTCGTCTCCTCCTCGCAGTGGCATGAGATGGACGCGGTACGGTAGACACTCGTCAGGGTTCGTTGACTGCGCCAGAAAAGCATGCGGGTCGACGGTCTATTGCGTGACGTTATATATGCGGCGGCTGGCCAGAACTGCGTCACGGGTCATCTGCCCGTAGAGGCGTGGCGTGGACCGCCAGATATGAGCAGTGTGTCAATTGATGGGATCATCCGAAACCGGATGGGTGAGTAGGGATTGGATTTGGCGACAGACTACCGCAAGGGCGAGCCCTGGGCGCCAGGCGTCGCTTGCCGCGCTATCAAGCAGCTTTTGAATGGAAACGCATTCATCGATGAAGACGCTATCGTTGCTGCCGCTTCCATGAGCTCAGCGATCAATAAACCGATTCCCATCAGTTTGATTCGGAGGCTCAAAAAACGTTAGATACCACGTTTCTGAAGTTTTTCCCAACATGCCGTAGGTTGTACTCTCGTGTTTCGTTCACTTCGAGCATCCGTTGAAGAAGATAGGGCATCGATCACAAGACGCTGAGAATCGCTCGCTGTTTGATTAAGTGTTTGCCGATCTGAAGGCTGAGATGCTTCGTTCCGGACCGCTCATCCCTGATAGTCACCCGGAGCTGGGAGGCGCCATCCATGCGGAAGGCGTGCACTGAGGTCTGAAGCTTCATAAATCACTCTCCACGGAGCTATCTTTTGCGACCTCCTGACCTGAGCCTACGCAACAAATTCAGCATACGCGATATGACAGTTTTGGCCGATAAACCATAGAAATCCCCTGGAGCTGCAGCCTGTTCGGGAGTCGCTCGAATGCGCGAACTCCTCCATTCTTCGGGCGGTCTTTGAGTTACGGCTTATTGGGTCCGTCTCGTATGAGTGTCGTTGGGAGGCGTGAACTTCATACTTTGGGTGGTCTCTGGGTGATGGCGTGTAGGGGCCGGCCCTTTGTTCAAGGGGCGGCGGTGCTTCCTACGCCCCTCGCCGGTCTTCCGGCGACACCGCGGCTGACTCACGTGGCGGTCACCCTTCCGTTATCTGGTCGTTTTCCCTCCGAATCGTGGGGCCCATGCAACAAGATTGGCATGAGAGGCGTCCTACGGTGGGCAGCCTTGGAGGCGGTGGGCGGTCTTAGAGGCCTTCTCGTGATCCATGCCTGTCAAAGCGGTCGCAGCGATCATCACGCAGCGATCATCACGCGGCGCGCAGCACTCTGCCTACCAGACCCACCATCTGGAGCCTTTCCTCCGAAAGGTGGGGCCCACACAGCAAGAGTAGCATGACAGGCTTATTACGGTGGACGACCTCGGAGGCCGTGGGCGCCTTGGAGGCCGCGAGCGCCGCGAGGCCAAACCATCCTCATGGCCAGGGTGGGCTCCAAAGGCCAGGCCACCAGCTGGAAGCTGGCCCGGAAGCAGTACCATGTGGAAGCCGGCATAAAAGCCGCCCAAAAGCATGCAGAGGCTTGGTGCCATGATCTCCAGGAGCCGCGGCAGCGGCTGTCGGCGGTCAGCATCAAAGGCATCCCGCTCGCCGCGTACCACCGATTTCTGAAGGTATGGCTCGCCACATACGAACCCCTTTAGGCCAAGTATCTGAAGCCGCGCTGAGCACGCCAGCGCCTTCGGCTGTACAGTGACTAGCAGCGCGTGTTTGCCCACTTCTTGAACTGCGCCGTCGAGGAGGTGGACACGAAGAAGAAGCCCCAGGCGACTAGGGCGAGATCGTTGTTCCAACAGCTCGGGCCTCCAAGGCGTGCGCTCAGCGGCTCCGCACCGTCCTGGTCGACGAGTTCCAGACGACCCAGGTGCATGCCGGGACGAATACGATCCTGACCAAGGTGCAAACCGGTGACCCGACGGCCGTGTCGATCTCTCGCGCGTCCCGGGACGGCGCACTCCCGACCGCGCCGACGCCGGCCAACCCGTTCCGCACGACCCGGGTGTATGCTCAGACGAATGTGGTCCTGAAACCCGGGCAACGCTGGCGCCAAAGACCGAGGTCCGGAGTTTGCCGTGGTGCGATTCCACCAACGGCAAGTTTGGGAGCCGCGATCTCAACGCCGCATTGAACATCGGACGCTGTTTGGCCTTACCCGTCAGACCGAAAGCGTTGTGCGCTCGGCAAGCTCCAAGCAATTCAAGGTCGGCAAGCTCATCCGGCACTGAATCGGATGCGCGCTGCCGCTGTGGGAGATCATTGGGGGGCACCACGGAGGGCATGGCGTGCGCGTTAGGTCGTCTCAAAGGAGGGCCTATATAAACGAGCAAGTACGCTCGCCAAAACATATGGGGGTGTTGTTTTGCGATACTGGCCCCACCCTCGTGTTTCTCTGTCGCTCACGCGCTGTTCCGATTAGGACGAACCGCGGACGGCCGCCGCCTCGGCGACCTTGAAGGGCTAATGGTCCAGTGACACTCCATCACGACCTGTAATTCAAGCACCTTCCCCCGTGACCCGGTGATGTCGTTTAGTCACCCCGTCCCGATTCACTTCCCCTGAGCATCGAATGAAGCGTCTAAACGATCTTGAAGATACATGAAGAAACGACGGCTCCGATCCGCGTCCATGTCCAATTCCACGTCAACGTGGCAGCGGCAAGCAGGCGCGATCCAGCGAACGAAAAAAGAAGCAGCGCATGACGCAGCCGCAGATTTACAGGCTCGTCTTCTTCGTGAACTGGTTCTTCTTGGTAGGCGCATCACAGCCGAGGACCATCTTGCCGCCGTCCATCTCGGAGCCGGAGCAGCACATGACGTTGGCCGAACACTGCGAGGTGCTGTCGGCGGCCAGGACGTTCAGGTTGATCGGAACGCACTCAATGCCGAGGAAGAGGTTGTCCAGAATACTGCCGAGGATGCCGATACCCGGGGCGTCCGGCGCCACGGTCTGCGTGCAGCAGTAGGACTTCTGGTGCGAAGCACACTCCATACTCTCTTTCGCGTGGACG